CATTTCTTCTCCTCTTCTCTGTATCTCCTGACTTGTCTTTCATCTTCATTTCTTTATCCCTTCCTGATGTTTTTTGGATGAGGTTCTCAACCAAGTCACTTAACTCAGTAATTTCTCATTTGGCTTTATTCTCTCTGCTGTTTAGCCCATCCCACTGGAGTGCAGTGATGCAATCATAGCTCACTGCAGCTGTGAACTCCAGGGCTCAAGTGATCCTCCATTCTCAGCCTCCCAGGTATCTAGAACCATAGGCGTGTACCACCCTGTCTGGCTAGTTTTTGTATTTTTTGTAGAGACTGTGTCTATGCTGCCCAGGCTGGTTTCAAACTGTTAGCCTCAAGTGATCCTCCCATCTTGGCCTCCCAAAGCTCTGGGATTACAGGCATGAGCCACTGCACCTGGTCATCCCACGTTCTTTATTTCAAAAACTGTGTTTTCTTAAACATAAGTGTTGGCCAGTGTATTATTTGTGCCTTATGCCCTGCAGGTGTATGCACATGACCATGTTTAAGGGGGTGGAGTGGAGACAAGTAGCAGCTTGGGGGCAACAGCCAGTTCTGCCTCTGCCTTCATTCCCAGCACCTGGTGCAGCCCACAGCACACAGGAGATGCTGAGTAAATATCTATTGAGAGGAGAACAACATTAATAACAACACAATGGTTATTGTCTTTTTTTTTTTTTGAGGCAGAGTCTTGCTCTGTCACCAGGTTGGAGTGAAGTGGCACACTCGGCTTACCGCAGCCTCCACCTCCCAGGTTCAAGCGATTCTCCTGCCTCAGCCTCCCAAGTAGCTGGGACTACAGGTGTGTGCTGCCATACCCAGCTAATTTTTGCATTTTTAGTAGAGACAGGGTTTCATCATGTTGGCCAAAATAGTCTCGATCTCTTGACCTCATGATCTGCCCTCTTCAGCCTCCCAAAGTGCTGGGATTACAAGTATGAGCCACCGTGCCCGGCCAGTTACTGTCTTTTAAGCACTTGCTGTGTGTCCCTGTAACTCTACAACCACCATGTGAGGTGGGCACTGACATTCTCATTCTGGAGGGCCCTCGAGGCTGGAGAGGGGCTCTGGCAGAACTGAGTTCAGCGACTCCTGCTCTGTTCTAGCCCTAAAAGTGGGAGAATGAAATAGGAGAATGAGGAGTTTGGGACATCAAGCCCTGAAAGCACGGACCACATCAGTGTCCTAAAACCACAGGTTCCAAGCGGTGTTCCCTGGGCCTCCCCATGTGCCTGGGAGCAGAGAGGGCTGCAGCTTCTGCCACAGAAACACATTGCTGGAAATCAGGGTGCTGGGGCCAGGCCAGCATTTGCCTTTTCCTCCATGTCCCAGCAAAGCCACTCAAAAGCCCCTCATCCCCCAGCAGGAAAAGCATATGTTCTTTCCATATAGAGGAGAAATTGTTCCACCAGTGAGTAAGCCTCTTGGCTGCAGAGCCTGGCCCAGCCCACAGAACACTGGACAGGAAGCTGGGCTGCACTGGTTACCACACCTGGAACAGGGACAGGGCTGGCTGACACCCTTGGAGACAACAACAGGCCTTCGGATGGGCCTGGGGGCAGTGGGGAAGCGGGGGCTGGGATATACCTGGAGACGTTTAGCGGTTCAGGGTAGGAGGAGCACGAGGACACCCTGAATAGAAGCACTTTTCTCCATTCTGGCTGGGATGGGCTGGACGCGGGGAAGACCAAGGGGACTAGGAGGGGCGGGGCGGCCGTTCCAGTCCCTTCCCTGGGTCAGCCTAGGAGTCTGAGTCAGAGGTGACTCAGGTGTGCTCAGCAAGGTGGGGCCGATTTTTGGACTGTTATTTGCAGCTACCCAAAAAGTCTCTTTGAAACCTTGCCTGCAGGGTTAGGTGGCAGGGAGTGACTCTTGTCCCTGGCACCTGAGTTCTTCCTGCCAGTGCCACAGATCTTTCCACCAGCCCCAGGCTCGATGGAGGACGCTGCCCTTTCTCTCAGCTCACCTGGGTCCTGGTTCTCCCTCCACGTTTCCCCCATTTGTTCAGGACCCACTGAGAGTGGGGCTTAGGGAGTGTGGGGAGAGAGGGAAGCCAGGGTGGGCAACGGGGCAGCTGGTGGCGGGTAGAGGAGAAATGGAGAGGGGCTTCACGTCAGACGAAAACATTGAGAAATTGAGTGTGTTTAACCTGGAAAGTCAAAGACTTAAGGGAGAGGATGGTGACATGAAAACCATTTGAAGATGTGTCACAGGTCACCCCATGAAAGTGGGATTGAATTTCTTGTGGGTGTGAGCTTCAGGGAGATAAACCTTGCTCTGCATAAATCCAGAGCCCCCATCCTCTGAGAAGTGCTTTTGAGAAGTCGATTTTCTGTCATTGGACACATCTAGGCCAAGGGTGGATGCCTCCCAGTCGGAAAGAGTCAGGTGTCAGCTGGAGGAGGACTGGAGTTTAGGTCTCAAACTGGTGGCCTGTGGGCCAGACACAGCCCTGACAATGTGCCCGCCAGCTAGCGGGCAACTGCCCGCTCCAGCAGGGCACACACTCCCTGTTCCCCACAGTGCAGCTTGTCTGGCTCAGTCATTTATTTTTCAGGACTGACTCCTGAGACATTTTCATCTGTGACCCTTGGAGTAGAGTCCCCGAAGGCACCTAGCTTTCTCCCTGCCTACGTGCACCCTGTAGGCTCAGCTGGGGCAGCTGCAGCAGGAGGAAGCAGTACCCACTAAGACGCAGGGGACACCAGACAGCCCAAGCTGCCCGCCCGGACTGGGACCCCAGATAGGGCTCCTCCCGGGCTAGACATGACCACCGCCTCTCCACCCTCATGCTGCCGTCGGGTGGGATCTATCCTGGTCTCCAGGGACTGGTGCTCACTGCCTAGGAGAGTGCCATCATTCCCGGGCCTTTGTGCCCTGCCTCAGAGTCCCCCAGGGTGGGGGACTTGGCCTGGGAGTCAGAAAGCCTGTGCTCACCTCCCAGGCCAGGCTGCATCACGCTCCAGCCCCATTCTGAGCCTCAGCGTCTGTGGCTGTGTAAAGACTGTCTACAGGGTCCCTGGAGCAGCCCCCTAGGCATTTTTTAAGACACTGTCCCTCACACCTCATCCCAAAATGATCATTAGGCAGGTTCTGCCCTTGAAGCCTTGGGGAGAACAGACGACCCAAGGCTACCACCTAGTGGTCACTCACAGTCAGACAAGGCCGACGTACCCCGCAGCCTTGAGGGCACAAAAGAAACTATAAAACCGTAGAGGGCTGGGTCGTCACCTCGAACTCTGGGAACAGGGCAGGAGAGACCCCTGTGAGAGCAGATTGCATCTCCCCTGTCTTCCAGACGTGGGAGGGGACCCTCCAGCTTCCCAGAGGTCAGTGGCTCAGATGACAGGCATTGCCATGGTAAGACAAACATGAGGGGAATAAAGACTTGAGTTTGGGGATTGGGCAGGTCTGGATTGGAACCTCGTGGGTTCTTAACCTTGCTGGAGTCCCTCATCTGTGCAGTGGGCTATTTGGGATCCGTCTTGCCGGGCTGTGGACCTTTCTGCATGAACAGACCGCATAGGGAGGCAGCATGGGGAGCGGTTGGACCTGTGACTGAATGCACCTTGGTGACGCCCAGCCCTGGGACCAGCTGTCCGCTGGGGCCGCACATCATCCTCACCTGATTCTTAGGCAGTGCCATCTCCAGGCCAGCAGCAGCAGGAAGCGTAGCAGGGAACTTGGTAGAGTGGGGAACTTGCACATTCTTGAGCTCCACTGCAATCTGAATCTGAAACTCTGCAGATGCTCGCTGTACTGTGAGAGAGCTGTGCTCAGGTGCCAGTCTGGCTGAGAAAGCACCACAGGTGACTCAAGTACCCTAAGGCCAGAATCACCTGTGGAGGTTTAAAAAATGAACAGCTTGGCCAGGTGCTGTGGCTCATGCCTGTAATCCCAGCACTTTGGGAGGCTGAGGTAGGTGGATCACATGAGGTCAGGAGTTCAAGGCCAGCCTGGCCACCATCGCGAAACCACATCTTTACTGAAAATGCAAAAATTAGCAAGGCATGGTGGCACATGCCTGTAATCCCAGCTACTTGGGAGGCTGAGGCAGAAGAATCACTTGGACCTGGGAGGCGGAGGTGCAATGAGCTGAGATCCAGTCGCTGCACTCCAGCCAGGGTGAAAAAAAAAATTACCTGGCACCATTCTAATAACTTTTGTTTAGTGGATGCGCTAAAATTATTATTATTATTAAAATAACAAGAACTCTGCAATTGATTCTAGAGGCCAGGGAGAGCTCTGGCCCAGACCCTCCTCCCCATACAGTACGCCCTCCCCTCAGAAGCTGAGCCCAGAAACAGCGTGCAGTGACTCTCCCTGGGGTCCCCTAGGTCTGAAAGCGGTCCAGGGAAGAACAATGACTTATCAACACCTGGTGGGTGCTTAAGCTAGGACAGGCATGGTGCTGGGGACTTTGCACACAACATCTCACAAATACCCTAGAGTTGTTAGAATTCTCAGTTTATAGATGGAGAAACTGAGAAGGTCAGTAACTCACCTTAGGTCACACAGCTACTAAATGACAGAGACAGGATTTCAGCTAGCTTCTCTCTGACTCCACAGTTCACTACCTTTGCTTCCTCATTTTACAAATAGGAGGCATGACTTGCTCAAGGTCACCAGGGTAGCACCCTTGACATTTCCTGTACCTTTGCTTCAAAGCCACAGCCCACTAATGCTGTGGCACCAACCTCAAGATGAGCTGAATGCCACTCCAGGAAATCATGCCACCACTCTGGGCACAAATGCACCAGGGATAGGGTTGGGGTGCAGCAGCAAAGTGTGGGATTCATAATTAAGCCACGTGCTACTTAGATTCCCAAGCCACTTTTTGGACGCACGGGATTCAAGGTATTAAGCAAATTGACACTTGCCCACCTCCCCCTCATAAGACTTCATTCTCCCAATATCACACAGACTGACACAGACTGTGTCCCGTCCACGGTTAACCCAGCTCAGAGAGAAAGAAAGAACAAGAAGAGGACCCAGGGATGGCGTAGAGAAAACACAGAGCCGCTTTACTATTAAAAATGTATTTTCCAAAAGCAAGGTAGTTGATGTCCCAAAAAGCCGAAAGCCTCTAGTCCTTGGGGAACGGGCTGCACGGAGCTTCAGTCTGACACAGCCAGGCGGGACAGCCCTCGGCGGGTTCGGATTCTCTGGGAGATTTGGTAGAGCTCCATCGTTGCCTTCGCATCTTCCACTGAGCTGTGTCCATGCAGGCTGTTCTGCAGACACAAGTACAGAGTGGGGACTTGGGATGAGGCTGAATTCAGAGGCCCCGTGTCGGGGCTTTCCCTGCTCACATCCCGATTTCCAGAGTCCCCACGTGGGTCAGTGGGTGAGTCTCTCCAGGCCTCTGACACTCTGGAACTGGGAGACTCACTGCAGCTCTGGGGCCAGGGGCACAAAATCCAGCCGCCTGGGAACCAGGCTGTGCCTTCAAGTTGCCGGCAGTCCCGCAAGGGAAGTAGAGGCTGCTGACTTGCTGTCAGATACACACAGTGGCTCCAGCAACTCTAACAGGGAGCTTCAGAACACCGAGGAGGGAGTGAGGAACTCCAGCTAGGGACGCGGGGAAGGGCTGCTCAGAGGGAACACAGGACGTCAGTGTCGAGAGGAAAGGCTGCAAGCGTTTAGAGGTGGGGAGAGCATGTGCAGATAAAATAAGAGAGCTGCAAGGGCGGGGGCGGGGGTGTGTGAAAGACAGTGTGGGGAGGGGTAGTGGGCCTGGATTTATCACTGAAGGCTTTGAATGCCAACATCGGGAGCCTAGACCTTATGGAGATGGTGCTGTGGGAGTCAGGGAGCCCTCAGTCCATTCAAAGGAGACGCGATGACCATTTACCACCTCTTCTGTGCGCTAGGCTGCAGTTAAACCTCTGAGTTGGATACACTTATTCCCCCATTTCACTGACAGTCAAACTGAGGCTCACACACGAGCCAGCCAGTTGTGGAGCTAAGATGTGTATCCCATAGAGGCAAGTATGTGGGGCAAGTCCTCACTCCAGTCACCTGTCTTCTCCCTTCATGCCCCCTGCTCAGGCCTGGTATCCTGGCCACTACCCAGCACGGGAGCCATTGGGCTGTTGAACCTGGCTGCATCTTCTTGGTATCCCTCTGTCGAGAGAGGCCTTCCTGTTCTCACAGCGGCTCCTTTTCCGGGCACTGCAGACAGGGCGTTGGGGACACCTGGTACGGTGGCCACTCAAAAAGGCTTTTTCTCGTTGCCTTTACTACACTGTATTATTTTTTAATGTTTCATTTTTTGGCTTGGACACCCTTATCGCAAGCAGGTAGCATGGTGGTGTCGTCCATACTGCCTCTGCATACCTGCCTCTGTCACCATCCTTGCTTGACAGACGAGGAGACTGAGGCACGGGGAGGTTACGTGCTCTACCACTCTGCTCTTCGGAGAAGGAAGCCAAGCACAGACGCAGAATGCAGCATCAGCATCCTTCATCACCAAGCGGGGAGGTAAAGAGCCCCAGATGTGGAATCAGACCAACCCAGGTTCAGGTTCCCAGCTCCCCTGTGGGCATAAGTGACCATGAGCAAGCCACTTTTCCTCTCTGGGCCTCTGTTTCCTCTTCTGTAAAATGGGCCTGATGATACCTGCCTTAGAGGTTGGAATGAGAGCATGCCAACTGCCGGGCACCCTCCACAGGGCTTGACAGATGGCAGCGTCCTTCCTTTCTGTGCAGCCCCATCCACCATGCATGCAGCTCCGCCCGGAGCCCCAGGCCTGCCGTTTCACTCCCTCAGGGGGCAGTAACGTCCCTGCCCAACTGTGACCACTCTACCGTGTTAGCTCCTTGCGTCCTGTGGGTCAGCTGCGGTCACGGTGATCAGTAGCACCACTGCCCATATGAGGGGGGCTAGAGGGCTGGTTTCTAGGAGCATCAGTGCAAGCAAGAGCTGCCTAGCAGGGTTCTGAGCTTCTGGAACAACCAGGCTTAATGAGCCCAGGGACAGAGGCTGGGAGGGGCCCCTGGGCATGGGAGCCACAGAGTGACAAGGGCTCCAGGAAAAGCCCTGCCTGGGCCTTATGTGCCTTATGTGCCCCGAGGCTAACAGAGAGGGCCAGACCCAGGCCTGTTCCCTGCTCGGGACAGGGTTCCCACAGTTCCTGCCAGCAGGTAAGGGCGGGCTCCCTGCTCCCCAGCCCCTCCCCCAGCCTCTCAGGCTTTGGCTCACCCAGACCCCACTCCATATGCCCTCCTCTGCCCTCCTTGACTAAGACCTTCCAGGCTCTGTTCAGACCTGGTCTCCAGCCCTGCCAGCTCCATCCTTCATCCTGCTCCCAGAGCACTGCCCTTCCCTCCGTCAGACATTCTACCATGTATGCCGATGACCTGGTTAAGGGCCATCTCCCAACCAACCAAGAGCTCAAGGACAGGGACAGGTCTTGCTTACCCTACACCCCCAGGATTTGGCGCAGCTTGGCAGCAAGCAGGTGTTTCAGAAAGAGCTGTTGACCTGGAGCAGGCGTCCCCAAACTACGGCCCACGGGCCGCATGCGGCCCCCTGAGGCCATTTATCCGGCCCGCCAACGCACTTCAGGAAGGGGCACCTCTTTCATTGGTGGTCAGTGAGAGGAGCACAGTATGTGGCGGCCCTCCAACGGTCTGAGGGACAGTGAACTGGCCCCCTGTGTAAAAAGTTTGAGGACGCCTGACCTGGAGGGTTCCTGTGTGCAGCCCTGGCTCTTAGTGTCTGGCCCCTCTCCCTCTGCCCTTCCTACAGGGTCAACTCCCAACCCCCGCATCCGCATGCCTTTTCCTGCCTGCTTTGCCTGCCAGCCAGAAGTGCTGCGGAATCAGTGCCCAGGAGCAGCAGCAGCTGTGGCTGATGGTGCACAAATATCCCAGCTCCCTGGGTCCTGCTGTGGGACGCATCTGAGGTGAGGTGCGTGTTTTACACCATTGCTCAGAGTTATATAGTGGAATCAAGCTTCACTCCCCACAGGATAACTGGCTTGATTTCAACAACAAAAGCAAACCTTTGTTGGGTGTTTTCCCTTCCCTGCCCTCATCCTTACTGTACATGTACAGTACCTGCCAGGGACCAGGCACAGCAGGACCTGCCAGCAATGCCTCGGGCAGGCTGCCCGGAGGAGGCAGGGGAGGGGGAAGGGGAAGAGGAGGCGGAGGGAGGGGAGGAGGAGGAGGGCAAGGAGGAATGGGGAGGAGGGCGAGGAGGAGGGGAAGGAGGAGGGGCAGAAAATGGAGGTGGACAATGAGGAGGGGGAGGAATTGGAGGAGGATAAGGAGGAGAGGGAGGAGGGCGAGGGGGAAGAGGGTGAGGAAGAAAGGGGAGAAGGGTGCCGGGCACGGTGGCTCAAGCCTGTAATCCCAGCACTTTGGGAGGCTAAGGCGGGTGGATCACGAGGCCAAGAGATCGAGACCATCCTGGTCAACATGGTGAAACCCCGTCTCTACTAAAAATACAAAAAATTAGCTGGGCATGGTGGCGCGTGCCTGTAATCCCAGCTACTCGGGAGGCTGAGGCAGGAGAATTGTCTGAACCCAGGAGGTGGAGGTTGCGGTGAGCCGAGATCGCGCCATTGCACTCCAGCCTAGGTAGCAAGAGTGAAACTCTGCCTCAAAAAAAAAAAAAAAAAAAAAAAGAGAAAGGGGAGAAGAGTGAGGGGAAGGAGTGGGAGGGGGAAGGGCGAGGAAGTGCTCACCTGGATGCTCTTGTGCAGGAGGCGCTCGCTCAGCACCCGCAGGGAGACGCGCCTACAGTGGTCCAGCTTGGCCTCACGCCACAGCACCATGTCGGTGGACGTGTCATAGATGGCGTAGCCACTCATGTCCTCTTTCAGCGCCTTGAAGTCGTGCTTCAGGTCATGACCCACCACCAGCTTGCCTTTCAGGAGCTGCAGGATCTGGCCAGGAAGACAAGTGCCCACCCCTACATGACCCAGCATCTTCGAGGTAGGTCTGGGGCTGGCTGTGTGACCTTGGGCAAATTATCGTCTCTCCCTGGGCTTCAAATATATCATCTCTGAAAAGAGGAGACTGGACTAGGTCCCTCCTCACACTCGATAGCTTCAGTCTGTGCCAAAAGCCCGTCTGGACTTTTCCAGGAGCTGAACTGTATAGGAGCAGTGCTTAGTACGTCCTGAGTATTTCCCGGGTGCCAAGCGTGCGTCAAAATACGTCATGTAGATTATGTTGTTTAATCTTCCCAACAATTCTACTGTGGTGGGCGGAATAATGACCTCCCAAAGATGTCCACGCCCTGGTCCCCAGGATGTGTGAATACATTACCTGGCAAAGAGGAATTACAGTTTCGGGCAGAATTTAGGTTGCTAATCAGCTAACCTTCAAATGGGAGATTGCTTGGCCTACCCAGGTGGGCACAATATCATCTCAAGGGTCCTTACATGTGGAGGTCAGAGGGAATCCACGTGAGGCAAACAGGCTGTGGCTGGCTTTGAAGATGGAGGGAGGGGCCGTGAGTCAAGGTATTCAGGCAGCCTCTAGAAGCCAAAGAGGGCAAGGAAATGGATTCTTCCCCAGAGCATCCAGAAGGGACCTAGCCCCACTGACACCTTGATTTGAGCCCAGAGAGACACACGCTGAACTTCGAAACTACAGAACTGTAGGAGGATGTATCTGTGTGGCTATGAACCACCACGTTGATGGTTGATGGTTTCCTAAGGCAGCCACAGAAAACCAACAGCGAGGAGGGAGTGCTGCATTGGACTGTTTTACAAAGGAAAAATCTGACATGCAGAGAAGTAACATGCCTAAGCTTACACTGATGATTTTAAAACAAGTTTGCGGCTGGGCGCGGTGGCTCACGCCTGTAATCCCAGCACTTTGGGAGGCCGAGGCGGGTGGATCACGAGGTCAAGAGATCGAGACCATCCTGGTCAACATGGTGAAACCCCGTCTCTACTAAGAATACAAAAATTAGCTGGGCATGGTGGCGCACACCTGTAGTCCCAGCTACTAGGGAGGCGGAGGCAGGAGAATTGCTTGAACCCAGGAGGCGGAGGTTGCGGTGAGCCGAGATCGCACCATTGCACTCCAGCCTGGGTAACAAGAGCGAAACTCCGTCTCAAAAAAAAAAAAAAAAAAAAAAAAAGTTTGCAAATTCCTTGAAACTCTTCTTAAAAAAGATGGAATCAAACTCCCTACCCCTTGCATCTGGGCTGGGCTATATGACTTCTGTGACTTCTCTCCAGGACCAGAGTTCTATAAGAAGTCCAGCTACCAGCCAGGCATGGTAGCTCACGTCTGTAACCCCCAGCACTTTGGGAGGCTGAGGCAGGTGGATCACCTGAGGCCAGGAGTTCAAGAACAGCCTGGACAACATGATGAGACCCTGTCTCTACTAAAAATGCAGAAATTACCTGGGCATGGTGGCTAGTCCCAGCTACTTGGGAGGCTGAGGCAGGAGATTTGCTTGAACATGGGAGGGAGATTGCAGTGACCTGAGATCATGCCACTATACTCCAGCCTGGGCGACAGAGCGAGACTCTGTCTCAAAAAAAATAAATAAATAAAAGGCTGACCACCCCAAAGCCGCCATGCTGGAGAGACCATGGGGAGGAGCCAGCGAGACAGTGACGTGGCCACAGCAGGCCAGCACCAGCCACCACACAGGTGGGCAAGCAAACCTTCCAATGGGTCCAGCCCCCAGCCTTCAAGGTGCCTTAACTGACAGCCTGTCTCCACTGCAGAGCATCTGCCCAAACTGCAGGTGGCTGAGCGAAACACATATTAACATTGTTTGAATCAGTACGTTTTAGTGTGATTTGCTAAGCACCATTTGATAACTGGGACAGTCACACAGCTAGCTAGTGGCAGCCAGGCCTTGAAGCCAGTGGGCTGAATCCAGAGCCTGCCTGCCACTGCCACACCGGGCTAGAAGCATGAATGACCACTCCAGGCTTCCACCTGCCCGGGGGCTCAGCTGCAAGGGCCCCAGCCCCACGTCCCTTGCCTCGCCTCCCACATGGACAGTCTGCTCTGCTCTGGTCACGCAGGCCAGTCAGCTTGCTTTAACTCAGCTGCCGTTGGAGAGAATGGGAAGGGGACCTGAAAATAGAACAGATGCGAGCTTTATTAGGGAAAGGGGTGGCTCATGGCTAGTTCAGGCCCCCTTTGGACAGCTCCATGACAGCCTTCATCTCCTCTGCATGTAGCCCTCGACCCTAGCCTGTGCCCCAGGAAAGAGCCTTCTGGTGGCTAACACCTTCCCGGTGGCCTGTTTCTCCTTCTAGATGGCCAGTGGCCTCCTGGGACATCATGTGGTCCCTTTTACATGTTCTGCCCTAGCAACGACAGGAGAATGAGGCTCAGAGAGAAGATGGACAGAGCCCATGCTCTGCTTAGAGGACTAGGGAGAGTGTGCTGGAGAATGAAGGCATGCCGCCCTGACCCACAGCAGCGCTTCTCAAGCCTGAGTGTGCTAGGGTCACCTGGGAAATGGCGACAAAACTGAGGCTTTAATATACCCAGAGGATTATAAATCGTTCTGTTATAAAGACACATGCACACATATGTTCACTGCAGCACTGTTTACAATAGCAAAGACCTGGAACCAACCCAAACGCCCATCAATGGTAGACTAGACAAAGAAAATGTGGCACAGATACACCATGGAATACTATGCAGCCATAAAAAAGGATGTTCTTGTCCTTTGTAGGGACATGGATGAATCTGGAAACCATCATTCTCAGCAAACTGACACCAGAACAGAAAACCAAACACTGCATATTCTCGCTCATAGGTAGGTGTTGAACAATGAGAACACATGAACACAGGAAGGGGAGCATTACACACTGGGGCCCGTTGTCGGGGGCTACGGGAGAGACAGCTGGGGGTGGGGAGGTTCGGGAGGGATAACATGGGGAAAAATGCCAGATATAAGTGACGGGGGATGGAAGCAGCAAACCACCTTGCCATGTGTGTACCTATGCAACAATCCTGCATGATCTGCACATGCACCCCAGAACCTGAAGTACAATTTTTTAAAAATCGAGGCTTTAAAAGATGACAACAGGCACACGACCTCAGAGCAGCAGCTCAAGGGAAACAGTGCGGAGGAAACCGCCCAGCACCTGGCAGTGGGCAGAAATGGCACAGGGCGTGCAGATGTGGGTGTGTGGGTGGCCTTGGGTCACGTGCTTTTTCTCGCTAACGTCCTTTGTGCTCCAGAACAATGTGGCCTGTTTTCCCCATCTAGGGGCTTGGCTCAGGCCCAGTTCACACAAAGCCCTGAAGGAACTCATCCACCATCCCAGCAGTAGCCTCAGCCAGGCCCAGACACAGAAGGAACGAGTCATCATGATGTAGATTCCCGGGAAACTCATCATTTCCTGAGCCTGAGAGTCCAGGGAGGGGAAGGGGGGTCTACATGAGGCACTGTGGGACTTGCCATGAGACAAACCGAGGAAGAGGGGGAGGACAGGCCGAGGAAGGAAGAGGAAGAAGGGAAAGAACAAAACCATCCATTTAGCAGAGAGACACCAACTCTTTGGGACAAAGATTCCGGAACTGGCAGAAAGAGACTGCTGGAACTTGCTGTGTGCCCTCAGGGATGTCAAAGACCCTCTGAGCTTCAGTTTTCCCATTTGTCAGGTGAGAGCCAAGACTGGTGAGGCTTGAGTGGCCCAATAGCAGCCAGGGCTCCATGGACTTTCTGAGGCAGGTCTGAAAAGGGAAGGAGTCGGTCACCTGCTGGAGCCCAGGAGTCGGGAAAGGGCACTGACAAGCCGGCCTCGGGGCTGCGTGACCTGCTGGCCACAGGGTCTGCCCTGAGTCAGTGTCATGAGGCACGTGTGTCAGACTTTGCCACTTCCCAACACAGGGGAAGGAGTCTCTCAAATTCCTGGAAAGAAAGGGGGTGGGGCTGGGGGATGGGCATTTATTGATCTCTTAGCAGCCTGGTGCTATGCCAGGCACTTTCCTTACCTCATCATGAAGCTCCTCAATGAAAGTATTCTTAATTCCATTTTACAGAGAGGGGAGCTCAGGATCAGAGAGGTTAAGGGGCTTGCCCAGGTCACACAGCTGGTTAGCTGAAAGCTGCAGTGCAGTATCTGGATCCACATGACCCTGTCATTGTTACTGTAGTTGTGACTGTTAGCACCTACTGAGGACCAAGGGACCAGGCGTGACCAGGCACACACTGGCACTCAGTAACAGCCCTATACGGCACTGACTATCATACCATCTGACCCGCCAGCAAAGCAGGGTGCAGGGCGGTGTGCACAGGTCACAAGCATGGGAGTGCCAGGCCAGGTGTGGCTGTCTGCCTGCATATACCTTCCACTGTGTTTCCGCCCCTCTCCAAGTATTCCACAGATGTGCCCAATCCAAAAATCCAGGAGGGCCAGACCCTATACAGACCCATTAAATTGAAATCTCCAGGGAGGGTGTCAGCAACTATTTCAGGGGATTCCTCCTGTCTAAGAAGTCTGCACATCTCTGCACTGAATCCCGCTGAGCAGTTCAGAGCCTGCTGCCTCCATCATGCATTCATTCATCCATCGTTCATTTGTTCATGTACCCATTCATTCATTCTTGGCTGCCGGGAGAGGAGGCATGAGTAAGGGGCCCTGAACAATGCTGTTCTTGCAGAGAACCAGGTCCCTTACTCTCACCTTCTGGAGTGACTCCAGCTCTCCCGCCCCCCTGCTTTGCTCTTGTCCCCTGCCAAGCTCCTGTGGTGTCCCTGCCTGCGGCTAGCACCTGGTTCCCACAGGGCCGCTTACCCTGGGGCAAATCTGTATAGTGAAGCCTTCCTCCTTCATCTGGCCGAGCCCCAGAGAGATCTGCCAGGTGGCAGGGCCCCAACAGGACACTCCCACCTGTGCAAGGGCTACCGGGCTGGCTACAGCTGAAATCTCTCCCTGTTCACAAGCTACCA